TTTGGGACACCACTCAAGGCCTTTCCTGAGCTATGTGCTGGTATTGGCAAACTAAAAAAACATCCAAGTACATCTTCACGTTGACAGGGGAGTCGTTCCAGTCTCTCAACCTCACTGAAGAATACCCTTTGCGCTGCAAAGCAAAGTGGAAGAAAAAATCAGCCAGCTTCTATCCTTGGACATCATTGAAGAAGCAACAGGACCCACCCCGTGGGTTTCTCCAGTTGTAATCGTGCCAAAACCGCAAAACCTAGACGAGATTCGATTATGCATCGACATGAGATGCGCAAACAGAGCCATACTTCGTGAGAGGCATGTCTGCCTTACCTTCAACGACTTGGTCATCGCACTGAATGGGTAAGTTATTTACAAAACTTGACCTAAAGGATGGATACCATCAACTAGAACTTGACGAAGAATCAAGAATAATAACGACATTTGCGACACACACTAAGCTCTATCTAAAGAAGCGCCTAATGTTTGGCATTAACGCGGCCGCCGAAGTCTTTCAGGAAACTATTCGCCAAGTGTTTAATGGAATACCTCACGTCCTCAACATCGGTGACGACATACTACTCTTTGGTAAAACAAAACAAGAACACGACCAGGCCGTAGAGGCCACACTTGTGAGGTTGAAAGAATGGGGCCTCACAGTTAACAGAAAAAAATGCATCTTCGCACAGAAGAGCCTGTGCTTCTGTGGACACATCTTCTCCGCTTATGGAATTACTGCGGATCACCAAAAGATTGCAGCATTTAGGGAAATGGAAGCTCCTACTAACGCGCATGAGGTTCGAAGTCTGCTTGGCACTGTAAACTACAGCGGACGCTTCCTTCCTAATCTCGCGGACCTTACACACCCCCTTCGGCTCCTCACCAAGAAAACTGCCAAGTGGGTCTGGGGACCAACAGAGCAGGCTTCCCTGGACAACTTGAAGGGAAAACTCTCTGAAGTACATAATCTCGCATTTTTCGATGGCACAAAGGAGATCATTCTTACAGTTGACGCATCCCCTGTTAGACTCGGTGCCATATTAGCACAGAAGACAGACAATATCACTGAAACTGTCGCGTACGCTAGCCGTGCTTTGACCCCCACGGAATCACGATACTCCCAAATTGAACGTGAACTACTTGCTGTGGTATGGGGAGTTGAGTATTTTCACCTATACCTATAGGGCAACACATTTCTTCTCCACACAGACCACAAACCACTCGTGTCAATCCTTACCAATCCAAGAGCCTCTCCCTCGGCACGCCTTGAGCGTTTTGCTCTGAGAATTCAGCAATATAACTTCAGAGTGGAACATACGCGTGGAAGCAGCAACCCTTCGGACTACTTGTCTCGCCATCCCTTGCCAAATCTTCCCGCTGATGCCAACCTGGCTCATGCCACTGATGCGTATGTCAACCTTATTGCTCAATGCCATCTTCCAAAAGCTATGACTAGCGCAGAAGTAGTGGAGGCCACGGCTAGTGACCAACATCTACATGAAGTGATCGCTGCCCTCAAGAGCCCTGCCAGATGGCGCAACCCAGCTCTCAGGGACTTTGTGTCAATACAACACGAACTCTCTGTGACAGACAATGGCCTGCTGCTGAAAGGTACTCGTCTCGTTCTACCCGCCGCTCTCCAGCAACGAGCCATATGTCTTGCACATGTGGGGCACCAAGGGATAACCAAGACAACCAAGCTCATGAAGCAGAAGGTCTGGTTTCCTCATCTCGATACTAAAGTGCAAACAGCTCTGAAAACCTGTATGGCGTGCCAAGCGACCATTCAGTACCAACATGCCGACCCCATCGCCATTCCAAAAAAGCCCAGTCGGCCTTGGGAAGCCCTCTCACTTGACTTCGCCGGTCCATTATCAAACGGCAAATACCTGATGGTGCTTATGGATGACACGTCCCGCTATCCTGTCGTAAAGATATTGTCATCGCTCACCGGCCAATCCGTCATCAATAGCATCACCAAGATCTTCAGCATCTTCGGAATTTCAAAGGTGATCGAAACGGACAACGGACCCCCGTTCTAGAGCCACGACTTCAAGCTTGATGGCCTACAGGGCAACACCCCATTCAGCAACTGGAACCCCACCTTTTGATGTGCTTTTCGGCAGGTCCGTGGGATATCTTCTCCCAAGGTGCTCCAATGACAACCCACCTCAGAAGTGGCAAGACACAGATCTCCAAAATCACACAAAACACAAGATATACGCTAACAGACATAGGCACGCCCGGCTTCACAACCTCACTGTGGGAGACCGAGTTCTCTCCAAACAAAACCAAAGAAACAAGCTGACCCCTGCCTATGATCCCAAGCCATACCAGGTCATCGATGCCAAGGGGACGCAAATTACGGCACGGCGGGATCACGGCATAATAACAAGAAACGCTAGTTTTTTTAAACCCATGCCCCCCACCACGAGCAAAGGATCCGAAGGTGACTGTGACTCGGACAACGCGTGGTTCAATGTCCACCTCTCTCAACATGGCTGCAGCGGAACGCTTCCAGACCCGACTGATCGAGAAACCGAGCAACGCCCCGTTCGGGGGGAGGACGAAAGAGACCGATCTGTTGAAGCAACTGCCCCTGATCCATCAGGAACATCGCGACCGATCCGTACCAGGTGCCCTCCTGCACGACTCAAGGACTACGTCTGCTCTTAATGGGCCTTTCGTTCTGGTCATTTGTCTGCTTCTTGGTGGGAAGTGATGTAGTGATGTGGATTTTATGTGTGCGCGTGCAACACATATAGCAGCGGGGAAAAGGAGAAAGAGGAAGAATAAATCCAGGGAATGGAAATGGCTGCCCCTCGTTCATTCTACACGCAGTAGTAGCACACCGCTTATGCACCGCGACTGCAACTCTACAGCAGGCTCAAGCTTCCCTTATGTGCTGATGTTTATACGTCATCTGACGTCAAGGCAAGATGGCGGATTAGTAAAGTTGATATTAATATTATGAAGATTGTGATATTCTGATCCGTAGCCTGGTTTAAAACAAGAAAAAGGGCACCAAAAGACCGAAACATATATCTAATACTTTATGAAGGAGATTTTTGAGAACGTCAACCGCAATATTCAATATATATATATATATATATATATATATATATATATATATATATATATATATATAGATATATATATATATATAACGAAAGTTGAGGAGTTCCAGGAAAGGCCTTTACTGCACCAACGTTTCAAGCGGTCGCCGCTTGAAACGTTGCAGTGAAGGCCTGTCCTGGAACTCCTCAACTTTCGTTTTACGTCCAACCGGCCCGTTGAACCTTCTTAAGGTGTATATATATATATATATATATATATATATATATATTCAGCCAGAAATGAACGAAATAAGCATTAAGATGGGGCTATAGTTCGTTGGGGCTCAAGGAGGTGGGGTGGGTGAAAAGAAGACTGGGAAGAAGGAAGCAGACGGAAAGCAGGAGAAGACAGGGGAAACTCCTCCTCCCTTTAGCGTTCCGTCCGCGTTTTCCTCCCCGGTCTTCCTTTCCCACGCGCTACCTGCTTAATTTGCAACGGACTATATATAGCAAAAGAAACAGCTAACAAAGTCTCTCTTGCAACCTGGATTTTCCGATGATTTGACATATACTACTCTCGTAAATGTTTTTTTTTTTTCTCTTTCCAGCGGCCCATTGTAACATATGTTCAACAAGGCAAAACCAGGCATGTAAACGTTAAGCCAAAAAAGTGCCTAAATACCGTTCTTCGTTACTCGCTCAAAAAGTAACCAAATTTATTATTCGTTACCTACTCTCAATAGGAACGCGTTACTTTACCTTAAAAGAAGCGAGTTACTTTTCTCGTTCACTTGACGACGAAATGCACAACTGCTTTTGTTTCATGGTTTATTGTTTTTATATTCAATATTCGTTGCACTTAAGTAGCTGCTTCTCGAAGTTTTTATCAGTTATGTTTCCACGCTTCCTTGACACTAGATCTCCGACTACGTTGAAGCGTGGTTTTACTAACGCGCTCGAAGCAAGGGCAGTACTCTGCTTCAGGAAGAGCTGGTGAATCTGTGGATATCCTCTTTCTTTTTTGCTCTCTTTGCTTGTAAACTTCGAAGCTAACTTTGGGTCCTGTGCCTTCCCGCCTTGGCAACCTTCGGGTTTACATTCGGTCTGTACACGATTCTAGAAGCATCCACCAACGAACCTGAATGTGTTCTCTGGGTGGAGGACATTCCCAGCTGTAGATTTCGACTGAGGTATTCAGCGATAAACGCTGCTTCATTGTCATACTGTTTAGTTGTTTTTCGGGCTGACCACTTGCACTTGTCGCAATGGATGGATAGTCAGGTCCGAATTAAAACGAAGCTTTTTTAACGTTGTTATACACGTTACGCCTCAAAAGTAACGAAATACTGTTACTTGTTACTTGGTCTTAAAAGTAACTTAGTACGATACACGTTCCTTTTCTAAAAAAGAAACTAAATAGGTTACTAGTTACCCAAAAAATTAATTATATAGAGGCCACTCGTCACTAGTAACTCACTGCGTACATGTCTGAACCAAACGCCCGAAAAAGCAGGTACAAACGGAACAAAGACTGACAAGGCTCAAGTTTGTGTAGGCTTTTTTACCTGCAATATCGGGGTTTTCATCATGACCAAATATACACCTGCTCGTTTGAGCACTTACATTCAGTTCATTAACATATGTCACCCATCTATTTCCTCAGCTATCCGAGAGAACCCCCGAAAAAAATTAGGCGCGTAAGTACGCAATCGCTATTGCTAATTTAGACACAGGGTTATTTTTTTTAAATTATTGGAGGCGAAAATCGCCCAAAATGCCAGGAATAGCCTGACAACCTAGTTCGATAAACCCACCTACAACAATCTGTTGTTCGAACAAAGGGTGTTATTATTAGTTTCACGAGCACGCATTGAAGTTTAGGCTCCTCTAACGGAGCGGCATTGCGACAAAAACTAAAACAAAAGCGTCGCAATTGCGAGGAGAACTTACGTAAGGCTTTCTTGCTTGAAGAATCTCGAAGTAGTGATTGCTAGTCTGAAATGTGGAAAGTTTGGTGGCTTATTTATATCCCAGATTGAAGGCGTGTTCCTTGCAACGGGCGATTCCGTGAGAATTTTCTCGCCACTGGTAGCTTTGGGAGCAGACAAGAGCAGACAAAATCTGCACCTGTAATCCAGAGCCTAACACTCGATTCAAAAAGCGTTCGAAGAGCCTTGAAAAAAAAAAAAAAACTGCAAGGATTGTGCGTATAAAAAAAAATGTTTTCCGCAGTTTGCACCTGCGTAAAGTTCTGTGACCGTGTTCACTTCTCTGAATATTATTCGCAACAGGACTGCGATACACCTCTAAAACACGATATTCTACGCTGTGTGCACGATCTAGAGGTGCCGACTATGCAAAAATTTGTCACACAAAGCAGTTCATTATCGCCAGAGAGGCCGAGGCTGGTCTTCGAGATAAAGCTCTATCACGCAGGGCAGTGTAGTCCGTTTCACTTCAAGCCCCACCACAGCCGACGCGACGACCCTATGTAGCTAATGAAGCAGCTCCGAAAGCGCATCGTCGCGGCGCTTATCGTTCTTAGGCGTTTGTTACAACCGACAAAACAAAACACGCGGAGTGAACGCCGCTCCAATCGTGCGCTTCTTTTCTGTGCGTGATTGATTTAGCCGCTCATAGCAAACCCACGAATACAACTAGCGCAGTAATCATGCACTTTTAGCGTTTAGCGTTGCGTGGTTGGCTACGTCGATGGTGAAATACACAATGTCAGACAGATTGTTGCCGCTGTCCCAAGGCCCCAAGCAGTAGATCGAGCACGATCGTGAAGGGAATCAATTTGACTTTGCCATGAATATGGTGCGAACGATGCCTCAGGCTGTTTACTAAGCCAGCTAAAAATCCTTTGTCTCACCTACATAGCAACGAAACGGTACCTAAATGAATGACGTGATTGTCTGCCGACTAGGCTCGTAAAAGTTCAATTTCACGCTAAAAAATAAAATGCTAAGTTTCTTGAAATATATGAGAAATATGCCGTGTCCGTGTAGTTTAGAAGCAATTTCTAAAGTTAGTGCTGGTAGAAATTGTGTGGAACAAAAATTTAAGAATACTGTTTAAGGGTTATGTATGATGAGGTGATCTATCTCTTAAAATATTTTGTGGGTTTGCTGAGTCATTAGACGCGCAGAACTTGGGCTCCAACCCAGAAAGTTCAAGGTTTGTTTCCCATCGAAACAAAGACTCTATTAATAATTGTTATTTTGATTTTTACGATATCTTATGACGCAGTTTCGAAGTTTTAACACTATGGTGTTTCTAAACATGTTTTGTGGTTTATTCCTGGTCGCTCCCTCATCGACATAACGCCGAAGCCCCGAAACGCGCCAAAGAAAGGTAGTCGGAATGCATTTATCTCTGACGCCCTTTTAGGAATAAAAAGCAAGTCAACAAATTGCTTGTATAAAAAGGTACCCATTTCCATAAAGATGCCACATCCGCCCACCTCACCCCCCACCCCGAAAAAAAACCCCATAAAATCTTACGTGAGATTTGTAATTATTCAGGTTTAACGGAATTGAAAAAAGTGCAAAGTTCAATCTTTATTTTTTTCCAGCTATGATTTGGTATAACAATTACAGATAACTAGAATTCCTAATGATTCAATCGCAACTGAGTTGCAAGAAACAGGTCAAAAGCTATCATGTTTTTCTTTTCTTTTGCATTTTTTTACAATATAATCATTGCAGATTCAATTGAATATTTTTCTGCTTTGTGTGTTTACATGATGATGATATGTGTCTTTTTGAATCTGCCATATATTCACTTGTTTTTATTCCCAACCCAATCGGAAGACTTAGACGTCCTCAGATCATCATCCTCTTACGCCAGTCAAACCATAGGCGTTTTGCCGGTGGAGAAACCATGGAATAATAAACTAAAATCTTGTTTAAATACCCGGCAGTATCTAAAGTAAAAAGACAAATAAATATTAAAAAGGCTCGATTCCAATGTGAATATTACTTAGAAATTTCAGGGCCGGAGATAAGATTTGCCTCATCGTACCATACGCTCGGAGGTAGCCAAATTACTTTTGGTTTCTAAATAGATAACAGAACTTATTACTTTTCCTGATACAACTAAAATGTAATTAATTTGCATTGAAAATTACCACAACAAACTGCACTTTATCACAATTACAAAGTACTGCCAAAAGTAATTGGTTGCTTTTGGAATACTTTTTTTATTTCTAATACAAAAATGAATTATTACTCTGTTGCTACATATACTTTTTTTTGTTTCATAAACTCCTCATTTACATAGGCCGCTCTATGAAGTCTGCCACACCAGGCTCCAAGCATAGCTAAGATTGTCGCGAGGATCTAGACGCGAGAGGTCTGGCAGTCAATTTTGGGGTGACTCAACGAATCTAGATCATACACTTCTTCACTGCACTCCGTTACGCGTTCCCCAGGATGCCCTTCTAAAGAAAACAAAAATAAAAGAGCCAGAGGTGCGGTGCCCCAGTCGGTTCTTAGAAAATAAATGCGAACCTCTTATCGTCACAGTAGGAAAAGAAACGTATCCATGGTTTGTGGTTGCCTTAATATCATTTGTTTGTAGCCTCAATCCTGCAGATCTTGTTTTTTGAAGAGAATGCGTTCTTTGCACGTCATATTGTCACGGAAGACAAGTGATGAGGCGACGAAAACTAAAGTAAACTAAACGTTTAATGGGGGCGAACTTGTGCCCAAATTAATAAGAGGAAAACAGAAGAAAACAGCAGAAAAGCAGGCGGCGATTCGGCGGCACTACAGAGCGCTAGCGAGACTGAGACTGACTCGGCAAGGTCGCGGGTAGCTGCTTATCTGCCGCGCGTCATTATCTCGAAAGTTCGGCAAAGAAAGTTCGAGCGTCGCGCGCTCGGGGCGAGGATCAACTGGCACTTTCGAGAATAACGAAGCAGAAGGAAAGTTACGTCTGGTGCGAGAATGAACGGGAATCTTCTATACTTCGTTTCAGCGTCGGTCCGCGCGTGGCCAGTGTTATGAGCCGAAGGGCCAATCAAACAGCGCAAAAAGCGCAGCGTCATGGCGTGCTCTCTGCGCTTGATAGGACGAGCCGGCGGAGGAGCGTGCACAGAGAGACGGCGAATACCGGCTGGTCCTATCAACTGCAGAGAGCACGCCATGACGTTGTGCCTCTTTCGCTGTTTGATTGGCCCTTCGACTCATAACATCGGTCGCGCTCGGACCGAAGCTGAAACGAAGTATAGAGGACCGTGACCAAGCGTTGCTTTCTCGGCTCTGCGGGCGGCAATATTTCGAAGACCAACCTCACGGAGGGTGCGTTGTATCTTTTTCGGAAACGAAGGTTTCTAAATTCCTGCTTCCATTTCAATTTTTTTTGTACTTTTTTTACAAATAGCATTGTACTTCTGAGCACTCCCACTCTTTCTGTTTCCGGGTTACAACGACCTAAGTGCTTCCTCTGCTTCAAAACCTGTCCGTGAATCATTTTTGTTTTTCAATTGGTGTGTAAGATATTTTTTGTGCACAAATATTTCCGGTGGTATATTGTATATCCACGAAAACACACCTGAAATAAAAAAAGTGTATTTCAATATTTTCATTACCTTTACCGGCGTAACGTACTTCATAACATAACTATATTGCATACGCCTATAAAGTAATGAATTATATTACTAATTCTATCAAAAATTAATTAAATTACAGTATTTGAATCACTCCCAGATATGCAGTCTGCTAATCACGCAAATTATCTTGAGAGTGACTGAGGTCCGTGTATAAATCCCCGCATTAAAATAACACAACATTTTTCATTTTTATTAATTTTGGTTTCACACTATCTTTACTGTAAGAAAGGTTACAGGCCGTTCGTAAAATACACGGACGCTTATATTTCAAGCCTCCTCGAGCTTTTTTCCTGTTGCAGAATCAAAAACTTCTTAAGCCGGGGTCACAGTTATTATAAATAATACAAAAGGCAGTCTGCATACAGATTCGAACGCGAGTCATCGCGAGATCCCTGCTTCGAATGCCGCGTGGCAGTCAAGGAGAAACATTTGGCACGTGGCATTCGAACCACGGATATTGCGGCGACTCGTGTTTGCAGACGGTCTTTTGTAGGATTGAAGCGAACTCGGATTCATGACAGCTATTTAGGTACTGCTTCGTTTTTACATTGGCGGAGAATTTCTTTCTTTCCAACAGAGCTGAACTCTGGAGTGGTCAGCAAACCGCCTCTGGCTCTGGTAGTAAACGCGTTACTCTAGATGAAGGAGTGATAATCGATCCATTGAAGAACTACGTCTGCCATGCGTTCGCGGCATTCTTCAGACTCAGCGCTGAATGGGTGAAGTCACACCGCGTAGCTTCAAAGGACTTTGATACTGAATAGGAAGGGGCTATACGAACCTCCTAATTCGCGCTTCAGGTTTCTTACACGTACCCATAACTACTGTTGTGCGAAGACTCGGTACCCGTGCAATGAGCGACTGTCCACCCCCCCCCCCCCCCTTTTTTTGCTTCCAAGCAGTGCTTCCAGTTTAGCGATTTTCCTGCTAAAATTAGCGGTTTTCTCAGCTGTCCACTTGGAGAAATGGCCATTTAAAAGGCTGTTTTGGTTTTTAGAGGTTTCGAGTCATATGTTAGCCTTCTTTTTGAGGATCTAAAAGTTTCTCGAGTTTTTATTTATTTTATTTATTTTCTATTTAGTACATACTGCAGACCTCAAGGTCCAAGTAGGGTGGGCGAAATAATAAATCGCGCTACACGAAATATAATTAAACATAAAAAAAGAAGAACAAATAAAGAAGACTGTTGCATAGAAAAACACATATACAAAATATGCAAATATCAAAAGCTACCATATCACATCCATTTACATAGTAATAACATTAACACATGTTCTTTTTTTGCGAATAATGTAGTAGCTATATATATATATATATATATATATATATATATAAGATGGATACACTCAAACTACAAAGCTGCAAGGCTCACTCGAATAGGAACGATTATAATGATGATGCAAAATCAGGCGAAGAAAGCAACTCCAGGGGCAATGAATTCTATTCTTATTGATTGTGAAAAGTATGAAAACTTAAATATATTAGAACGCGCGAAATAGGGTTTTAAGGAGTAGCGGTGGTTGTTTCTTCTCGGTCTGGTTGAAAGCTGACTAACACACAAACAAGGATTAAGAGAAACATATTGACAAGCTGATGAAGAAAATTAAAACGGGTCGTTTTACGCCGGAACTGGAGGGTAGGTATCTTATTTGTCTGCTTTAACAGTGCTGGGGAACGTGTGCGTTTGCATTTACC